CCGCGGAAAATTGATGGACTTATCTTGTGCCTGTGGATATATTTATAATATCGACTCAACTGTCGACGAAACCTATCGCGACCCGACGGCAATTACCCGCGCTTTTGTCCGATCTGACGTAGCAGCGGAATCGACTGCTATGGTATCAGGGAGCGGACCTCGACGAATCTACCGAGTTTTCCGAGTCCGAGCACGTAGCCCAGGGCCCTCTCGTGGAATATTAGCTTGGTAGCGGATTCGAGCCCGCATAGGGTCGAGCTTGCGAACGACAGACGTGCATACCGTATTAAGCCCGCGGGGACTTTGCCCGACTACATGCACGACGCGTACCGAGCCCACGTAGCTATACGCAGGGTGTGTATATCGGAGACACTCAACCGCAATTCCTGCGAAGAGCGCGACCGCCAGAATATAACCCCGAAAAAACGGCGATTACGTCAGTGCTGAAAGATAGATAGCTCTCGAGTTTTACTAGAGCTGTTAAAGATTTCGAGCTTTAACAGTATCGTCATATGGCACCATTTTTTTTATATATTAAGTAATTTTGGAATTATCTGCTTGAGAAATTCATCAACGAGTAAATTTTTTTTTCGAGAACGTGTGTTGGAGTAAAGTTTGTAAATTACTATTCTCCAAACGTAAAAGTCCTTTACAAAGTGCGTGATTTTTTTTTTTGGAATACTGTATATATGCGCTTCGATGGCAACGAAGGTACGTACGAGCACACGTACGTAAAATTGTCCGCGCGACGCTTCCGCATATCGGTACGCGCTTGGCAAATACTTCGGTATTCATGAATCCTGGTATTCGCCCACGGGATATGTACGCTTGGTCTGTCAGAGGTTCAGTCGGTCCAGGCGGGAAACTCTGGACGTTCCCACTCGAGAACCAATTCTTTTTCCATACAGTACTAGTTCATAAAGTTTCAAATATATAAATCTAAGATTACAAGAAAAAAAGTAAAAAAATATATATATATTTACAAAATTTCTGTGCAAAGGAAGAATGGCATTTTAAGCATCTGCCTTGTTACTTTTTGTATCTGTGATTGTGTCTGATGGTTGTGTGTTTTCCCCTCTCGCCACGACTATGACAATTCCTCGGGAAATATGTAAAGCAAAACGTCGGCGATTTGCTCCGCTCTCTTTCCTCGCGGCGTTTCGCGCCTTCGTTCTCGTCTGGGGAGACACACCCAGGGATCTCCCCGGCAGGAGACTAACGTACATCCACGCTGGATTTACGCGCGATATATTTGTTTTAAAGTCCCGGATTCTACATCCGCAGTTCATCCCTTCGGCAGTATGACTTTGCCGTTTTCGTCCCGGCTCTACTCTGCTGTCGTCCCTTTTTCTCATAGATCTGCTGTTCCTCTTCCTCGTCGTCATGTATTTATGAGGGCGGGATGGTAAAAAGGGGGGAACACACGAGCAGGAGTTATGGCCCGAATAAGTGCTCTCGACCTGAAACAGAGGTTCTCAGTGGAAGACGGAAGTAGTATTAGAGTTTTATAAAAAATGAAGAAAGAAAGAAAGAAAGAGAATAAAATTGAAAGGAGAAATAAAAAATGTTCTTGAAACATTGAAAGAAGGTGGTTGGAAATAAGAAAGGCACATTATGCACTATTTCAAAATAATACTTATGTTTACTTTCGTCTTTCTATTTATTTCAGAAAGATAACAAGCGAGAACGTGTCGTTGGATTTTTCGGCGATATTTGGATATCTCATGATTTTTCATGTACCTGTCGAACGTGATCCCCTCGGTTCGTTTGAAAGGTGCACGTGGTTTCGAGAACTCAGCTGAATTGATCGCGTGTTTAATCCATCCGGTTAAATGTTCACGGGGTCATGATAGGACTTCGCGATTGCCTTTGATGTCGATCGTCAGAGTACGAAAAGCCGCCATTGTCGAGATTGTTGGCGAAGCTCGTGCCAAGGTAGCATAGAGGGGTGGAAAAGGCGCCGCTAAGGTATGGGCATGGCTTCGCGACAGTTTCGGCGTTCATTAAGCGCGAAGAGACACCGGCGCGCGCGAGATGAGGGGCGCCATTGAAAACCGACTTACACGAGCCATGGCTTCGCTATGTCATTATTTCGAGCAACGGGAAACGTTACGAGAGGAAGAGCCGGGAGATTTATTGCGTTTCGCGTTGCGAGCTCCGCGAAGAATGTACGACTGTGGAAAGCAGCTGGCGTCTCGCGGCGCTCGTGCGAGCAAGCGGAGTAATATCGACAGTTGAATGGCTGATGTGAGCGGAAACGCCCCTGCGTCGGAAACGCGTTTTTTGAGGTGTTTGAAGCGGGAGATCTGGCAATGAATCCTGAAATTCAGCAAAACGCGTAAGATCTAGTAACTTACGTGATAAAAAAGCTAAAATTATAGCCTATATTTACTTTGATTAATTAACGAGATATTTAAATACAAATGAAATTGCAAATGTTGATTATGTTGTAAATATTCAATAGAAAAAAAAATAGATCATAATTATTTGTCCGAGAATGAAAAAACTGTAATTTTCAAAAATTATATCACAGTTTCTTGTATATATAATCACGTCGAAGAACGTCGAAGACATGTACCTCAAGAAATACCTTTCTTACTACAAAGTGAAGTCGCAGAGAGAAGAAAAATTAAGTAGAAGCGACATTGCTGGCCGTATTGTCGGCATTGGCCAATTACCTTCCTTTTCCGTTGCGCTCTTTCCTTATCATTCGAATTTTCTGTCTAACCGTAGATACAGGTGGAGATGTACGGGGGAGAGGAAAGTAGAGGAGGTCGCTAAGGGACAGGGAAATGGATGAGGAATAAAGTTCGCTCGCTTCGCCTCTCGTTTACTTGCCAGTACTTATTCGCTTTGCCCGTCGAGCGTCGTCTCCTCATTCAGCCAAAGTCTAATTAAAGTGCAGCTGCAAGTTAAATTAAAACACGATAATGTTGCCGTGAGAGAGGGAGAGAGAAAGAGGGGACGAGGGGATTTACCTGCTGTCGTGCACCCTTTCCTTCTTCTTCTTTCTCCGGTGACCGAACTTAAGCAGTTGCGTTCCAATCGTCCCGCACCATTTACGAGCTGCTCGAAGGAGTTTGGCCACCGAGTTGTTAAACACTCGACTTTCGAGCGTACCGCTTTGCACGTGCACCCTTGTGTTTCTCTCGTGTATATAAATTACGGCTTCGAAAGAAACTAATTGCACAATATTCATGAATGTTATAGCTGACGTCTTTCGAATAAGAAAAAAGTTTAATCCAAGAAGCGCTTTGACATTCAAGAAAATAAGTCATATATTTTCCAATGTTTATCGTAGATTCACCGCTATTAATTATATTAAATCATTTCTTTTAACTTCTACTGCAATCTCCAATGGGTATTTCTAATAATAGTACGATGACGTTAATGATCTTCAATAATGATAATATTATTCAGTAAAAACGAACAGTTTTTCAGTCATATGATGACTAACGGATATCGTATAAAATTATATGAAATGTAATTTTCTCCAAGATTCTTTCTTGATTCTAAGGACATATATCTTTAGAGGATATATCTAGATTCTCGATTCTTTTCATCAATAATCTGCGAGTTCGTCCAATCGGTTGTAGGGACATTGGACAGCTCGTGTATCACGTCGGGACAAGAAAAATCGTCGAAGGTTGACGATGTTCTGTGGGTGAGGAGGGAAGTAAATCGCTGGCAAGGTGGCAAGGAACGGGGTGCGTCGGAACTGACGGCATTGTGGTCGGAGATAGAGATGGCTATCGGGTCGCGCCGCGCGGTAATTGCCAGGAACTACGGGGGGAAATTAAAGCTGCCCCGGTCTTCCGGCAGTCCATTGTCGGGACTCGCGACACTGTTCCCGGTACCGTTCTATTTATCAGGAACGACCGCCGAATGGAGGGTTTCGGCTGATAGGCTCCGTGTCACTGTGTCACCGGAATCGAAATGCCGCCAGTATTCTGCCTTTTTGCGAGTCTCTTTAATTTTGTCTTTCACGATTTTACGCAAATATTTAGTATACACATTGAACTTTTCTTTATTTCTATAAGTATACATTTGGAGATTGAATGATAAGATTCGCGACTAAAGATTGTAAAAAGAGATTTTTATTAATAATTTTGATTTATTTTTTTACAATTTGCTCTGATGATGTGACACTCAGTATCTATATTTGCTGGTAATACGATTATACATATGCAAGCGATAATTGATATCTTTTGATTTATTTTGCTATAGAGATTATCAAATAAGATTATTTTTATCGTATGTTTTTTTATCTAAATTGCAAATGACAAAACAGTGATGTGAGTATTATGTGTATGGACATGATATATGTGTAAGTATTTATAGAAGAATTACAAGAATGACAGGGACGTTGCGAATAAATAATCATATATTTTATCACATTTATTTAAAATATCTTAGGAAACTAATCTACTCATACAAATATAATAATAATGATAATAATAATAAGAATATAATAATTTTATATTCTTATAATAATTTTATATTTTATAGTGTGCGTAAAGCAATTTGTTCTTTATGTTCGTCATTACTTTCAGTACTTAGTATTTTCTGAAATTGATGCACAAATATCTCCTTGACTTTTACATTTGGGTATTTGTATATTTTTCAAGAAAAAAAAGTAGGAGGAAAGTCTTATCTTTATACTTATCAAAGGAAAAACTTCAAAGCATCTTTCTTTTATATTCGTATATGTAAAGCAATCTGCAACTGCACTTGTGACACCATCTATTCTTCAGAATAAGCGTTGAATAGTTCGCCAGATTTTTGTTGTTTTTACAATACACTGAGAAAAAATGGTATTTTTAACTATTTTATGATAAAATAATTATGAGATTAGATGCTTCAATTTTATAATTACTGCCATAATGTTAATAATAATATTTCTAGTTTAACTGAATAATATATAACTGGCACTGAAAATGACTATAAATTATATTTATGATAATTGCAACAGTTGTTTCCTCTCAAGATCTAAATTTATATTATTTGAGATGTGGACAACCAGCTATATCCGGTGTTTGGCATATTTTTTGGATTGGGCTATAATGCAGACCACCCGTGCACTCCTCCCAAATCCACAAATTTTGTCCATTAATATTTCTACATGCGTGATATAAAGTGCAGGAACAATCATGAAATTTTGTGTCGCCCAATGGTTGACATCCCGGATTTATTACTTCGTCTGAACATTTTCCACCAGTTCTGTCACCAACGCATTTCTGACATGTGCGACTGAAGCATGTACCAGGTTGACAATTAATTGGCTCGGATTCCACACCATTTCGGCACTCTATGTACTGGCAATCGTTCTTTGGATTATTCATTTTCTCCGGCGGCGGAAATGTTCCATTTGGATACTGTATTGCGCAACTTGAGCAACCGGCCTGCCATGGCCAATCACAAACCTGCAGGCGTCTATTATAATGCAATCTCGTCTGTGGGTCTCCTTCGATCATCAAGGGACATTGTTGCTTGATAGCTCGTCCCAGATTACACTTGTAAAACAACGTGCAATCGTTTTCATGCGGGATGTTGGTTGTAGTGTTCCTGAAATTTGGTTGTGGCAATGGGCATTTTATAGGAATGCCATCCTCATAGAAGTCTTCCTCCAAAAAATCTTGATCGGAGTTCACGACGCTCACGGCCGAAGCTGCCAGGAAGGCGATGGCGACGTATATTCCTATATCGAAAAATCACATTTTCCAAATGTCAATCATGATATGAGTGAATCATAATTTAACAGATTTTTATTGCAATTGAATGAATGCGTTAGATATTTTTATATAAATTTGGATTGTTGAAAATTTTTCCAGCACATAGCGTGTCAATATGTATCGATCATTTTACTTTAATTGATGATTTTATATATATTATATAAAAAGATTTTTAATATTTTTAACACTTACCCTTCATCGTCTATCCTTTACTTAACTCGAACTAAGAAACGTATCGTTCGTCGTATTAACACCTCACCGATTCGTTTAAATATGTGACTGGCCAAATTCTGCTTTTATATCACATTATCCACCTTTCGCTATTTACGTTATCACAAAACGCAAGGACAGATTTTATCTATCAAAGATACTTATAATTTCCTCGCATTGTAAGAAAAGATTAGTCATATTATTCGGCAGAAAAATTTTTACGCCCAAACATTTGTTTTTTAGATCATGAATATTGAACAATCTGCTATTATAACTCAATGATAAATCGATAATTTATGAACTAACACAAAAACTTAGATTAAATTAAATTTTATATTACACACTGTCCTTATCGTGTAATTTGATTTCAATCAAATATAATTTATATTTATTATTGATAAAAGATATGTAGTAAGTTAATAAGGCATCAAGGTTCGAACTCCGATCAAGGTCAACCTTGAATATGATTTTAGATAACAATCATAAAAAGTTTTATCATTAAAGCTTTTTATATTAATATTAGAATTTTTAACGGTCGAAGTCTTAAAAATGGTAAGGAAAACAATGTGCGAAGATGTGCATAATTAATTTCTTCGGTTAAAAGATTTATTCAAATTTTAATTTAGAAATAAAAATATTCTAATTAATTATAATGATACCTATTAGGGGCAGATAAATTTAAATAAGTTTTTTAATAATACATATATTATATTCTGATTTAATTATTATATCATAATTATTAGATTATTACAATTTGCACATATTTAGATCTTGAATTTGATTAACTTTTACTTATTACTGAAACTTTAAAGTTTTCCATAAAATATTTGATTCTTTCATCTCAACATTACTAAGATACACGATTAATATTTATAATACATATGACGTATAAAACAAAATTAAAGAATTAATTTAAAAAATGCAATATCAGATAAAATGCATTGTGCTTGAGCAAAATTTAACAATTAAAATAGTTAATCTTTTTCTATGTAGTGATTATCTTTCACGTCGAAGTTATCCGTTATACAATTCGTTTATGTGCATATGTGCAATTTTGAAATGATAAATTAATGATAACGATGTGGAATACTTTAAACATTTTAAGTTAATCATTCAATATATATATTTTAAGTTAACTGTTACTGATTATAGAAGTAAAATGTATAACTACAGATAGTCTCTTTCCCTCTCTCTTTTTCTCTCTATTTCTCTCATGTGAGAATATCGAACATACAAATGATTTTATCATAATACTCTAAGAAAGTTACATGTGAGCTTAATCACAAAAAATATGAGTAAGAGTTCTTCTTTCACATACTTATCGTTAAAATTGTCACTGACGTACATATCATATCTCGTGATCGATATTTGCCTTGGTATAAGGTCCAGTGCTGATAAAATTTACATTGAATATATACAATAAACGATGACGATCGTGTATGTATTTCGAGCCATTATGATAATCGACAAAAATCTGAAAGAACATTGGTACTTCTTATATAGATTTTTTTTTTAAATACTAACGTATGTCTTCTTGCATGTTACAAAGTGCATATGATGAAATAAGACATCATGTGTAAAAAATGTGTACTTCTAATTTATCAGATTAATTTCTAGCAAAGATCCATCGAAACTCTAAACCATTAACATGACAAAAATTTATCCTAAGAAAAAAATCTCTTTAAACCTTAACTTAAAAATTGAAATCAGTTTTTTGTCGTACTTATAAAATCTGGTTTTAAATATGCAATCATTTTGATTGCATATTTAAAATCACATCTAATTTTCATGGATAATATATCCAGATTTCGATAATATCGATTTTTTGAGTAAAAAAATTGTGCAATTTATTATAAGAAAAATACCGTAAATTTGGTAAATTTTTATCCCGTTTGCTGTTGTGAATTCTCGCTGTGGGTATGCTATATTGCTTCTCCATAACATTTTGTTGCTACTGTAATATATATACGTTATACTTCGTCCCGTATTAGTGTAACTAGCAAACGCTCGTGTGTCCGAGTTATCCGTACGTGTAGACAGGATCGCCCAAGATAGACAGACATGTACGAGTGAAGTACATTAATCAAACGGTATGATACGCGTCCTTAACCCTTCCTTGCCCTTCTATCCCTTCATCATTCTGTTGCAAGTTCGCGTCGAAATTAATTCATGGCTAGGGCTGCCGCTGAGCATAGAGTCATCTATATCCACCTTTCGCTATTCTTTGCTTGCGATAACTTATAAATTCTGCATTGTTACTAACATTGCCATCTTGAATCAATAATAATAGGTTTACAGTTTAAAGTTTTCTTTGTTAATTAATCAATGCAACTTAAATCGCGTGAATAAAAGCAAACGGTTTTATTGTACTGAAGTTAAATGTATACCGAAAAATAAATAAGTAAAGTTGATGTCTTGTTTAAAACTGTCTTCTTCGGTGATATCAGAGATTGAAATAGACACATCGCATTATGCTGAAAAATAAATCGATCGATTCGTAACGGTTTGCTGGTACGCGGTAGATAACGCGCCTACCGCATCGTATCAGTATCGAGGATGCGGGATATTTACGTGTATACCTCGTCTTGATTCATTATTCCACCTTCATGAATATATCGCGCTATCGTCTTCCGCGCTCACGCGTAGCTCCGTTTTCAATTTTCTCCTCGTGAACCATTCTATGAGCATGACGATACTTACACAGGCATTCATAGAGATTCGTACCTATCTATACGTGTATATGTGCATCGCCATGTGAGCACAGTATGTATTATATATAATTTACGTATAGGGTGTTTTAAAATTCGCGACTCAAAATACTACAGCAAGTAGCATAGTTTTGAAAAATTAAGTAAATTAATTTGTAAATTTTTATTTTAAGCAATATAGTTTCTGAGATATGAAGATTTTAAATATACCCAATTACACACAGACTATATTTAGATACTCACCTGTGAGTATTATATTAGCGAATGCGCTGAGAACCTACGTATCATCAGCTCTAACACACGTGTGACTCATGGAGAGATGACTATCTAAACATACTTCGTAATTGGCCATATTTAAATTATTATTATCTATCTCAAAAATTACTGCATAAATGAAAATTTACAAATAACTTTTCTATTTAATTTTTCAAAGACTTGTTATATTTTCAGCATCCTGTATATACCTACTAGATGGCCCGTTAAACCTGAAAAACCGTTCCGATTTTACCTAAAACATTTCTTCAAGTGTGAACCACTTTGTATGTATACTTTTTACATATATATAAATATATGTATAATATATACATATGTGTATGTACATGCATATGCACACACCTGTACGAGTTGGACGTATGTTTGCAAGCATAGCTCGCGAATGTGTACTCGTATTATGCACGTTAACGGAGAGCGCATCAAGAGGAAGCAGATCGCGTACGTATGCGTTTCTACATACATGAAGACGTACACATACACATATATACTTATATATATATATATATATGCATTATATAGATATATACATATATATGAATCCAGATATATACAAATGCGAAAGGCATATATATGTGCGTATACACCGAGCCGCCTGGCTATATACAGACTTGTATGTATATAGCAGAGAGCATAGGCAGGCTGGTTGCGGATAATTCAGGCAATCAGCGTAATGTTGCGGCGGTGAGGACCCTCCAGCCCTCACTACGTATATAATACGGTACCTACCTACCCGCCGCCCGGACCAAACGGTGCGGCAGCAGCGGTAGCAGGCTTCTAGATACGTAACTGCGCGCGGACCCCGAGTATATACGATCGTCCGAGCCGGCCGAGTAGGCTGGCTATCTTGCTTTCTGTACGCAACTATACGCGAGAGTTAGGTAATAGCCGACTCGTGCCTATGGAGTTCTACTGGGTGATCCGATGCGAAGGCATTGCGAATTTCGAGACCCGATTCCGGGATTTACATATCATTCTGATACAACGATGGCTATTTGCAATCGACCTGATTACGCGCAAAAGCCGCAAGTTCCGTTTCAGATTTCGGAATCATTCGAGTCTGATAACTCGCAAAATAATACAGATTATGGATTGTGCTATCACGTACGTATAATGATAAAGTGCTGAGATATTTGATATGAATTTTTCATTGATTATGAGGAAACTGCAGGCGTACACAGTGGGCAAATTTGTGTTGAATTTAACACATGTATGTTCCAAACGGTTCATTCAAATTTTCGTGTTATTTTAATACAAGATGAGTATGTTACAAGATAACGCAAATATTATCTCAAAAATTAATATGAAAAACGTAATAATGACACAATTTATAAGCGATCATATTTTTTCGTTAAAATTAACATTTATAATGTGCTAAATTAACGCATTTTCTTCATTTATCTTAGAACATACATTTAAAAAAATATTATTTTTATTTGTTCACTTATTCATAAATTACCGTTGATTTAACACTAAGAAATGTTAATTATCAATTTAACACAAAATATTCAAATAACATTATCACATTATATCAAATTAACATTTAGGTATATTAAAATCAATACAAAACTTTAACAAGGGCAAGGGTTTGAATAGATCATTTCTAATACAGATATCAAATGTTTTTTTTTACTGTGTATCTACTAACATGTGCGAGTTGAATTGTGTTTATATATTAAATCGACATGAATACAACGCTTGTGGCATATAGTTGGTGCAACACCACGTCATCATGGCGAGATTGTTTCGAATCGCCTATAGCTTGGTGGACCAAGGATAGACTTTGAATGACAATGCATCAAGTACTCTTGAAATGTCCCGAAATGCAGAATGTACTCTCCCTCTCGCATTTCCCTGTCTGTTTCACGCTCGTGTCTCACTCTCCTGTCCATCTTTTACCCCTTTCCCCATCCTGATCCATTGATTGATGATAATTTGCCATTTTAATTTCAGATATTTATTATTGGCAATATGCTGCCGCTATCGATACATACACACACCACACACACATAGAGGGAGAGAGAGAGAGAGAGTTTATATTATTTTTTAAATGTGTGTGTCTAATGTAGAAATCAAA